CCGTCAACCCTCCTGCTGCTCCGCGTTAAACTAATTAAACTAATGAGGGTGATTAAACCGGAGCAGATCTGCAGCCCCACATCCTCCCGGATCATTTATTTCAGGATCTGCAGGTTTTCTTTCGCCATTCTTCTGCCGTTCGTCTCTCCGGGTGGCGGACTCCGTTTCCAGCCTGGAACTCTCCCGTGAGCCGGATTTCGGCTCATTTTCATGTTTCATTCGTTTCCAGTCGGAATATTTTGCTGTTTCCAGACGCGGTCGTGCTGCTGGTCTCAGACTCGAGCATCAACCAAAGGAAAGTGATGGAGATGTTCTTTTCTTCTGCTCTCCGGCGGCTCTTCGTCGCTGAATTGTTCTTGTGTTCTGGTGTTTAGTCCGTCATCGCACTTTTCCTCCTCCACCTGGCTGAGCCGCACGGCCATTCAAACCGGAGGAAATGAAACAGTTTCACCTGGATTCTACTGCAGCTTTTTACCGCACTTTAATCCTCTTTAAGGAATAAACCCAACAGATGTTTGACTTCTGCCTGAAATCATTTTGAGGAATTTAAACCAAGAAGATTTATTATATTATTAATTAATATTATTTTTCTCTTGTTTTATCATGTTGGAGTAAAAATCCTGAACCTGTGAATGTGTATTTGATCTCCCACTTTGCTTTCCAATCTTATTTCTCACAGAATTACATTTCCCCTGGAGGTAATCTTTATTTTTCCACTGCTAGAATCATCTGTCCTTTAGGAGAGGAAATTCTGGAAGTGGTGAACGGTTCCTCACTTCATCGCCTTTGTTTCAGATCAGTTTTTAATTCAAAGCAAGGAAGGGAGAACCCTGAGAACCAGTAAGGATCTTAAAGACTCGCAAGAATGCTCGGAGGAATGCTGTAGGTCCCGGAGGGACCCTGAAAATCCCATCTCTGTGAAACTGTAGACATGCTCTTGGGACCCTGAAGAACTCTAAGGTACCCGAAGACCCTGTGAGAATTGCTATGGATCTTAAAGCGACCCTGAGACTCCCTTAAGGAATCCTAGAGAGACATACTCGGTCTTAACAGGAGTAGGGCACAGCTTTGGTCCCTGAGTTTTTTTTAATCCCAGAAATCAAAGACTCAAGGATCCACTAAGGATTCTGGAGGAAACCTGAGGAACCCTGGCCCTAACGAAGCTGAAGCCCTTGAGGATTCCAAGAGTTAAGTACTTTCAGGAGCTCTATAGGGACCCTCAAGATCCAGAGAAAATCTGGGGACCACAGAGGAACCCCAAACACGCTAGAGGAACCCTTAGAACTCCTCGGGGACCCCCCCAGAGAACCATGGGCACCCTACGGGATCTGCAGTACGCCCTGCAGGAGAAGATCGAGGAGCTGCGGCAGCGCGACACCCTGATCGACGAGCTGGAGCTGGAGCTGGATCAGAAGGATGAGCTGATCCAGCGGCTGCAGAACGAGCTGGACAAGTATCGGTCCGTGCTCCGGCCCGCCACCGCCCACCAGGTCCAGGCCCAGCAGCAGAGGCTCGTCCTGCAGCCAGACCAACACCGGAGCAAACGGCAGGCCATCTCCGCCGAGCCCACTGCCTGCAACATCAGCGACCTCAGCCACGTCACCCTGCCCTTTTACCCCAAGAGCCCACAGTAAGTCCACTTTATATGTGTGGTGTTGAAACCTTCAGAGAAGTTTGTATAAAACGATGGGAAATTTGACCGATGTATTTCTATCAGGCTAAATGTTAGCATAATACAATGCTAACAGTCAGTTCACATGTAGACCAGACCGCTCCATTGGAAGGAGTTTCATACTCCAGCTGTTACTGTCACCAAGGTTTGGAGTTTATTTTAGGCGAGAAATTCAAGTACGTAACCACTTGATCAAAAACAGTTGAAACTTTGTTGGAAGATGTGAGGACCTGCTGGCTTAGCAGGCTAACTCTTGCTAGCAGCGTCCATCTTGGGGACAAACACCTGATCTCAGCAGCTCTTTGGTAATTTACCGCTTGCGCCGATGTCTGAGATTGTGCGATGATTTTACTGGTAACGATTTCTACTTGTGGATAGAAGAAAAAATTACATAGCCCCCCTTTAAAGTTAGCATCACAAAACCTCATGTAAAGGAAAAAAAGGGTTGCCTCCACTTTAACCAAATTAGAGTGATGTAGGGAAACGCCCAGTTAGCACACCATGTGATCCCAATCGACACACCTGCAACATTGTGCAACCAGTTGTCACTCAAAAGTCTTCACTCGAGGACTCGAGGTCAAGACCCCTTGGTGTCAGTTTGTAACGCCCTTTAGCATCATTTTTGAACACTAAAAGTAGGCCGAGTATATAAATAACAGAAAAGGGTCTGGGTGGGCCAGAAACCGGACTTTCACCCAGGAGACCGGTGTTTGTTTCCTGTGTGAAACAAAAAGAAAACAGTGATTCTTTTTAGTTACGCCAGATATGTTCCGTAAGTACCGTTACTTCAGTAACGTAGTTATTTTGAACCCAACCGCAATCTTTTGCTAAACCTAACCAAACTGCAAGTTCCACAACGTTGCACACTAGTTTTATTTTGAAAGTCTATCCGTACATTGCATATTTATTATTGCTAACACAACAGTAAGGGGTTCGCAGGGTGTTAAAAAGTGATGCCAAGGAGTCTAACCGAGCGTCCATATGTGAGGAGTTGGGATGAGAACGTGTTGTTTGTTGATCTGACTGACGAAAACAGCAGAAGGCTTTCAGTTTTATGCACCATTTTACGCATAAAGTGAAGTCTTGATTAAAAAAACCAATCTCTGACTGTAGGAGACAGTCTCTTGAGGAAAGTCTTTATTCTGTAGTTTCTGGTTGTGTTTAGAGAAGAAGCAGTTTCACTGAGCTGGTTCGGATGCCCACCAGGCTCTGCTCAGTAGAGCCCGTCTGTTTGAACTCAGCAGTCTGCCGTAGTGAAAGGCTGATTAAAAGCCGGCAGATGAGTGGAGGCTGCCAGCAGAGCTCCTGCAGGCCTCCGGGCAGATTAAACTTTCAAATGTTAATGTTTCCCATCAGTCCAGACTGCTCAGGTGGGGGAGAAGGAAACAATTTATGCCCTCTAAGAGCGAACATTTAAAGTACGCTGCTCTCCAGTCTGGTTTTATTTGTTCAGGGTTTCAGACGTCTGACTCTGAGATTTCTGTGCTGCACAATAAAAACAGTCACTGTTACTCTGAAAAATCCGAGAGAGTGGAACACCGTCAGACCCTGAACCATTACTGAACACTAGACCTTCAGACGTAGTATTCAGTCGTACACTTGTACCTGCATGATGTTCAACACAACATTTGTTTCTTAAACATTACGACACTGGAAGATCAAAACAAGAGTCTGATTTGTGGAAACGTATATTACATATTAATCTAACTTTTAATAGTGCATAAGAGTATTCTGTGAAAGTGCATCTGGAGCAGCTGGTGGTAAAAAAATAAATTATATTTGCCTTTTAAATGCCAAAGATAATTAAAATAATTATCTGAAGGTGTTTTATTGGAGTAGAGCTGAGACGGTTAGTCAGTTATGGACAGAGTTGAATCCACAACAGTTTTAATAATGAAAACATTTTTAAAAGCTTCAGTCTTCTGTGAGTATGGTGGACATTTTTATTACTTTCTGACATTCTACTGTTTTATTGAGAAAATAACCATCAATTTAATCAGTAAAGAAAGTAATTATAATCGCAGCTCTTTGTTTAATCCTTACTCTGCAGCTTCTGTATGTTTTCCTGATCCATGCTGTCGGACACTAAAGACAATAAATCTTGCTGCTGATCTTTACTCCCTGTAGAATCATCGCTCAAGTTTCAGTTTTGTTTTTCTGGGTTTTTTTTTTTCACATTTATTTATACAGAGAATCAGACTGAGCCCTGTGTACAGTAAACAGATAAAAATATTCATAACAGATAGAAAAATATAATTACAAAACCCCAGACAATTTACAGGTAGCAATTACATTCATGAGGAAAGTGTTCATTCCACAGTGCTTTAACATCTCCTGTTGAAATCAGTTTAACTTTTCCTGTAAGTCATGCCAAGAATTTGCAGCATTATATTCAAGGGCAGTTTTCCCTGCTCAGAGTGGGCTCGGGGAATTTCTAAGACTAACCAATCTTTGGAATGTGTCTGATAACCACCGACTTTCCAATTAATTTTAGTGGTCAGATAGCTGGAAAGTTTCTGTGTTATAGTCTTATAGCCGAAATAATGACCAGTGCCTGGTTCTCCTGGCGACCAAAGAATCCCACCCCACTAGTGAGTATAGAAGACAGTGGTGTGTGTTGTAATTGGCACCCGTAATAAACCGCAAGGCAGCATGATAAACTGCATCAAGAGCTTTTACCACTGCAGCTGAAGCATATACAGTATGTCGCCATAGTCAAGTACTGACATGAAAGTGGCTTCTGCAACGTCCATTCTATGCTGATAAGACAGGCAAGATTTATTTCTGTAGAATAAACCAATCTTCACTCTTAGCTTCCTCACCAAAACAGTAAGATGTGTTTTAAAAGTAAACTGTTCTAAACTGTTGTGAACACGTTCTATACCAGTACCATCCAGTGTACTAATTTTAAGCTCATCCAAATGTTTTCTGGACATGGAAGAGAAGAGTATATATTTAGTTTTACTAGAAAGAGATTTTTGTAGAATTAAGAAGTCTGATTGAAGAAGAGCAAGTGTTTGAGCAAAGGATGGGGCAGTAGCATAAATGACTGTGTCATCCGCATAAAAACGATATTTACAATTTCTCACCGTGTTACAGATATCATTTATGTAGAGAGTAAACAACAAGGGACCTAATATTGAACCTTGAGGAATTCCTTTTTGAACCATATCTATATCCATTTTGAACCATATCTGACTTTGCACCATCTATTACAATGGCCTGCTTTCTATCAGTCCGATCATTTTTAAGCCATGTGCAGGTGTTACCTGTCAGACCCACCGAGGACAATTTTCTCAGCAAAATTGAATGATCAACTGTATCAAAGGCTTTTGACAAGTTAATAAAAAGAGCTGCACAAAAAGATTTTTCATCAAGTGCTTTGACAATATCATTAACAACTAAAGTAGTTGCTGTAATAGTGCTGTGCCCAAGTCTGAAGCCCGATTGATATTTACTGAGAATATCCCTTTCAGCTAAATAAGCACGAAGCTGTAAATTTACTAAGGACTTCAATATTTTAGCCTAACAGAATAATTTAGAAACTGGGTTATAGTTATCAAGGACCCTTGTGTCTCCAGCTTTGTGAAGAGGCAGCACATGGGCCACTTTCCAAACTCTGGGAATAATAGCCGTTGTTAATGTAAGGTTAAAAATATGTGTCACGGCTTCAGAAATCAGTGGGGCAGCACTGACAAGCAGACCAGGCTCCAGCCCATCCACCCCCTTGTTTTGTATTTATGGCTTAATTTACAGTGAAAGGTTTTAGTGCAAAACCTTCAGTATCAATCACAGCTTTATCATCATCACTTACTTTATTCTTGGTTCCACTTAAAGTAACCGTAGAGTTTCTTTCAAATAAAGAACCAGCTGCAATGAAATGTACATTAAATGCTTGTATAATTGCATTTTTATCAGTAACTGGTCCTGTATCTGATATCATTTCTTTTGGTAAAAGGTTGAAAGAACTGAAGAGTTTTAACTGTTTTCCAGAATTTAGCCGGATCCCCATAACAGTCCGATAAGGTGTTTACATAGTATGCTGATTTTGCCTTTCGTACAAGCTTAATGCACAGATTTGGCAGTTGCTTAAAAAACTACCAGTCAGAAATGAATGTTGATGTCCTCGCTTTCTTCCATGCCAAATTTCTTTTATACGCAGCCTCATTTAACAGTAAAACATTCTTTGTTAAAGATGTTCCAGTGTATGCATGTCAGCTTTGCAATATCGGAAAATGTGTTCCCAACGTCTTCAGCACAGACACACAGGTGTTCGTTAGTCTCTGTGCAAGACTGTCCAGGTCCAGGTTTCCGTCTCCGCTGCCCGACAGCTGCTGCCGCCACAGATCTTCATTTATACACACATGAATATGAAAGTGTGTGTGTGTGTGTCGGTGCAGAGTGGGAGGGACCCTGAGCTGATGACATGCAGGGCCGGACGGCAGTCCTGCTTTCACAGACCTCAAAGATCAGTTCTGCATTTTCTTCTCATTAAAACTCAGCTGGCAGGAAAATGTGGCAGCTTCAGGATCTTATAACAAGTCAGGAAGTTTATCTTCAATACAAAGCTAATTAGCAAACATGCTGACAGTGACAGGAGGTTAATGTTCACCATCTCAGCGAGCGTCGGCTGTGTGGAGCGATGAGGCTGCAACCCTCCTCACATTAACACATGAAACCAACGCCTGGTGCACACGAAGGGTTTTAAATCTTAACCGATGTTAAAAAAGGGGGGATCCCACAGACTCAGCGTCCAGACGCAGGACCACCCTCTGCATTTATACTGTAGGGTACAGACGCCCCCAACATTGTCTGAGAGGCAAATTGGACCCAAAATGGGCCCAGTTATCTTCTAGCGTGCATCACCTGGCTGTGCCGTCTTCTTCTTCTGCGGTGGTTTAACGGCAGCGACTGGAGAATCAGCTCCGCCAGCTGTTTATCTCCATCAGCCAATGAGC